TCGTTCTCAATAATTTTGCATTTATTGTGCCGCTTTAGAGAATAAGCGCATTAAGTACGACTGTATGTGCGTTTACACAAAGCTATAACAACAAAACGTTTAGTTTTAACTTAGTGCAGACGTATATAATATGCAGAAGGGTTTAAGATCTCAGGTTTTATTATACGGATCGATTCAAAATCATTGTTTTTTTTTTTTTTTTTTTAATCTTAAAAAACATATTGTTTATTGACTTTTTCTATTTATTAAAAATTCAGCTGATGGTCGCTTTGATGGTTTTAAAGCTTTCAGAATTCTTGAATTGATACTGATGAAGATTATTTCGTAATTTGACGGCTTCAACTGCAGTTGACAAGATTCTTCTCATGGACTGTGTGGTAGCAATCAAATTGATTGAATAAATTTCCTAAAAGCAGGTTGGATATTCAAGTGGAGTTAGTAGGAATTAGCGACGATTGACGACACCTGTTCGAATTACATAAAAAACAAATTTGCAAGCAAAAATTTATCGCATGCTACCGCATGCCGAAATAATTTTTTGTACTGAGCATTCTTTCACGTTCAAGAAAAATCCCATGTTATATGAAAAGTAGTTTGCAACCATTTCAGCTTTTATTTCGTATGTAAAAGAGATGACCACGATATATTTGCGAGAAATATCTATTGCATCAAAGAATATCGGGCAATATTTTTCTGTGGAAATCTCTGTAAACCCGGTTTTTTTTTTGTTTATTTATGTCCCAAAACTTTCTGGAACGACAGGCGCCTATCATTAAATAGCAAGTAAGTACAGATTTTCGCTTTTTTTCCTATGGTTACAACTTCCAAGCGACTGATCGAATTTAGTTCAAATTTTTGGTACATTTTAAAGCAAAATCGTAGAAATTTTGTGGTACATTCTTTTCTCTATGGTAATGTGTAGTTTGATATCTTTTATTTAAAATAAGCACGAAAAAATCAAGCGTCGGTTTTCGAATTGTATACAAAACGAAGTTGATAGGCCTGCTGTGAAAAATGAACAAAACAGTAAATGGAATATTTATATTATTTGCCATTAAATGATTCCTGCGTGCAAGGCAACCTTTGTTTGACGGTTTATATCAGGTAATAGTGTTACATCTTATGTAAATTACTGGTTATCAATTTAGTTGCAGTTTGTAGAAATTCAAAGTATCTCGAAACCGGGATAGTGTCGGCAGTATTGAACCGATTGTTGCGCAGACACGATTTTGGCTGACAGGCGTCTTTATAAACGAATACGTACCGCGTCAAAAATATGTTGAATTTTGTCTTTCTTCCATTAAAATGCGCCATCGACCTTAAAAAACATAAAAGCTTAATTTATATTTTTGAAAAACGAATTGAGTACTAACTTTTATGTACACCAATGAATCTCTCAACAATATTCCTTGTCTTTAAATGCACATCATTGTATTTTTGCTTGATGGAATCTGTTGGAATTATTTACAGCGTCACTAATCGCGGTTCTACAGTGTATCCGCTTTCAGCTGAAAGTATTTGAATCTAAGTATCGTTTAATATTATTATTATTGTTTATCAAGGAGCCCACTCTTATTGTCATTTCCAGTTCAACGATCTTCCAGGTAAGCTCTTTTATTGGAATATCTCCACTCATGCAACTCGTGACTTCATCCCGGAAATCAAAATTTTGCGACATAATTTCTATGTAGTGGCAAAACTTACGAGTAAGATATTTATATGTGTATACGCAAAAATATATATGCATATAGAATAATTCACCACCATTCCATTCAGACCATGCTTGCCATTTCGGTTTATGAATCGTTTTCCATTTTGTGCGGGCTTACGAAAATATACGTGAGTTCCGTCTACGAATCCAACCATTTCTATAAGTATCAGGAATATTTTGATAACCGTTTATTATACAAGACGGTGTCACAAGAAAAGAAAAAAACCACTCCTTTACATTGGCATTAATACAAACTTTGATGAATTAAGAGTATTAATTATACAAATGGAGTGAAAATCAAAAAACAAAGAATAAACTTACTTACTTTCAAAAATTTTAAATTTTTTACTTTGGATCAGCTTTTTGTGAGTAAACAATGTCGTTCGGAATTTTTTTTTCTTTTTCAATTTGCAGCTGTTTTCCTTTATAAATGCAGCTTTAAACAACCAATACTAAAGAAAAGCATGAGCAATTTTGCTTACGTAGGTTTTGACAATTTTGAAGAAGCATTTTTCGCACGTCTTGCGCATACATAGACAAAAAAAGGTCAAGAGATGAAACTTAGTTAACGCCATACATAATAAGTGCCATGGTGACGGTCAGAAAGAAGTAGGACAAAAATAAATAATATGGACTGTCCAAACACACTAAATCTTCGATCAAGTATATATATAAATTCATTTAAAAAATTTGTATATAGATTTCACATTTTGATTATTATAAGATTATACGAAAATTGCCAAACAAAACCGCTTTGTTTGGTAGTTTTCATATAAATTTCTATTTGTCTAATAAGTTGTTTTTAAGCTTCACTAATTTCTGCACGGAGGAGACTAGAAATTTATTTTCTTAATTTTTCAATAATCCGATTTCTGAATGTATTGATGATATTATTCTCGAAGGGAATGATATCTCTGCTACACGAAATTCACGTTATTCCGTAGTTTTTGAAAAAAATAAAAGTAGCATTAGTAAAGTGATTGTAACTTATAAACTAATGGTGAGAATGTTACGATATTTCAATGAATTTGGTATAATGGTTGGTACTATCAAAAGCAATTAAATAGCAAATAGCCCAACATTTATTTCAAATCCACACTAAGAGATTATTTTGGACTTCTTGTGTTTCTGCATCGTTTAATTCACATTGAAGAATTCTAAATTCTAGAAGTTCGCCAAATGCTCCAGCAAATTTCAGTGTAGATTTTCATATCAAGAAATACGGAGAAATTTCAATTCTATGGCTTTAAGTGTTTATGAATGTGCGCTATGGTTTATATAAAAGTAAAGCATCCTTTATGCTCACTCATTCTTTGCGTTAATCATCTGTTTATGCTTAGAAATTGGGTCCTGGATGAATTATACCTTCACATCTGATACTGCCACAATTCCCTTATGTTGAACGCCCGAGAATAAGAAGTATACAATATTAGAAATCGCATTATTCTCGTTGTCCGATTCAACACCAGTATCACTTAAGAACTGACAATAATAACGCTTGCTTGCGGTTTCCTTTGATAAGAAAATAGTAGAAATTTGTACAAAAGGAACTGTTCCATTCATAACTTCGTTTAATGAATATATATTGATTGTAAGCAGTTTATTGTTTGTAACCAAATTTCATTTTTCATATAATTCTGTTTTCTTTTGTAGTTGGTAAATGCAATAAATTGTTAAAAATAGTTGAAGCATAACAAATTAACGGAAAAGAGCATATACTTAGTACAAGCATTTCAGATTTTAAGATAACTTTTGAATTATTTTGTAACTTCTTGTTGTTCGAACAGCGGATATTTCGTTAGAATCTCAGACCACTGCATTCGACCAACCGAAAGTTCCTTCACAACTTCGATTACCTCATTAATGTCAATACGAATTTGTTTCATAGTATTGCGTTCACGCAAAGTTACTGTATGAGGCTTTTTGAGCGTATCGAAATCCACTGTTATACCGAAAGGTATAGCAATTTCATCAGTACGAGCGTACCGACGACCGATAGAACCACTAGAATCGTCAACTTTATGGGACAGTTCAACTCTTGTTAGAGCTTGAGACAGCTTTCGAATAAATGGTTGAAATTCCGTATTGTTAGATAATGGTAATATAGAACATTTGAGAGGTGCTATTACTGAAGGCAAAGTAAAATAGCAGCGCTGTTCGTCGCCATCACGACATTGGAAATTTTGTTCAAGCAAAGCATACATAATGCGTCCAATTCCAAAGGAAGGCTCCACTACACTGGGTATTATTTCTTCGACATGCACTGTTTTGTTGGTATTCTTAACGGTTATAGTATCTGCAGGCAACGTGAAAATGTTACCGTCCGCTATGGTCAGTGAATATTCACTAGTTTCATTTAGTTGATCTCCAACTGTTTTAATATCGTCTAGTGTTAGTTTACCTAACGCGTCAATTATAGCCTTAGCATCTTTTCTGAAAAGTTTACCTAAGGTTTGTTTATTGGGTACAATTTCCGACACTGACACTACCTTAGGAGTAGGCAAACGCTTTTCAGCTACTAGACGAACTCCAGTAGCAGCCATATGTTGGCTTAAATCATAAGCAGAACGATCCGCACATCCCACACACTCAACCCAACTATAACTGGTTAGACATTCAGCATCCCAACAGTCGCAAGCGTAATGAGCCATTTCATTGCTCATATGTTGACGAAAACGCAGACATTCCGTTTTTATACCTATTGTCAACAAGAATTGATGAATGCGAGCCATGTAATAGCCTAATGTTTGATTAGCGACTAAGCCAGATTTTACTGCCTCTTTAATCGTTACTCGTTTAGCAGAATTGCCGTCCATTTGATTGCAGGCCGAATACAAGGTCATTTGTGTCTCAGCTACGTAATCAAATTTGGGATGATCCTTTTGGTTGGGATCGCAAAAATGTTCTATCTCGGCCATCGTAAATTCTCGCACACGTATCAAACCGGATCGCGGCGATATCTCGTTACGGAATGAATTCCCTATTTGTGCTACCGCAAAGGGTAGCTTCCCTTGATTAAATTCGAGCAAACGTTTAAAATTTACAAAAATGCCTTGAGCAGTTTCCGGTCGTAGAAAACCTTTTACTAATCCAGTGGGTCCAATTTGCGTGGCAAACATAAGATTAAATTCTATTGGTTCGCTTAAATCGTTACCTGTCAACGGAGACTTAACATTGTATTTATTAAGAATCTCAGCCATCTCCGCTTTATTCATACCATCTAGTTTAACTACGATATCTTCACACTCAGATTTGATTTCGCGTGTGGTATTTTTATCTTTGCTTAATTTTTCCAAAGCGTTCTTAATTAAGTGATCTAAACGAAAACATTCGCCAGTTTTAACGTCTTTTACCATCAGGTCTGCAAAGCGATCTACGTGACCGGAAGCTTTAAGGACAGGCTCAGGCGTCAGTATAGAACAATCAACTTCCAGCATCTGTTCTTCCAAGCTAAAAAATTGTCGCCATAAACTTAAAATGTTCGACTTTAAAGCGCAGCCCATGGGTCCGAAGTCATATTGTCCCGTGATGCCACCGTAAATAGCGAAACTTTGGTCGTAGAAAAATCTGCGTTTAAGCAGGTCTTCCATTCGTGCACGGTCAAATGTAACCACATTAGGTGTCAACTCCAATTCTCGGTCTTCTAAAATTTTCTTACGCAATTTCAATTCTGCGACTGCTTTTTTAATATCAATTTCTGAAGCTCCATTCAATTTAAGTTCACGCACCAAGTTACCTTGCTCAAGAACTAAGGCACGCAAGGGTGCTAATTGGATTTCAACTTCTGGATTCGTCATCACTTCCTTCAAATGTAAACGCACCTCACGATTGATTTTTTTAGAACCCCAATTACTAGTTACTGATTGGGCTTTCGTGGTTTTATAGCGACGGATACAAATTTCAACTCTCGAGCATAAATGAATAAATGATGCGTTGGCAAAATTTATTGATCGAAGTTGATTATGTTTAATTAACTGTCTAACCGGAGCAAAGCTTTTAAAAAGTCTCTTAATCTGCAAAGACATGTGAATGATCAAACTTATCTAATATTTTTTATACTAGCTTTGCATCAGAATTTTCGCAGTACAGAGATTTACCTTTCATGTGTGCAAAAAAAAAACCAAATAATCTCATTGTTACCGCAGTGCAAATCTGTTGTAACAGAAATGATTTTTTATATACGAATGAAAGAATTTCATATTCGAATAAAAATATTTCGGGATAAGGCACATTTCTTTTTCTTCTTGAATATTCAGCAAGTTCAGGGCACAAATTATACATTTTTTGCTGTTGCTATACAACTTACTCTCATTTGAAAGGCGTACCTTAAGAATCATTTGATGGCCACCATTTGTATGAGAGATATGTATGGCTTTCATCATTCGAAATATATTTCGAAAAGACAATGACACAATCATAAAAACGTGAATAAAAAAAATACCGTATGAAATAAAGTGAAATTTTTTCATATAATTCATATAGTTTCAAATTCATTTGTTAGGGAAGCTTTGAATATATATCACTTTATTTTAATTTTATATAATAATATTATATAAATAACATATGAATTTGCTTATAGAGAATGAAATAATGTTTTCAAATTAATTGCTAATCAATCTTATTTTGACCTTGCACCACTTTCGGTACATGGTGCATTAAGTTTGTATGGACGTATGTTAGACGGAGAATGGCTTAAAATAGGTCCACCCTTAAAGAATAATTGTGAGACTGTCTGTCCGTCTTTCATCCCAAATCCAAATGCTATTGAAGATTAGATAAAAGCAAGGGGTATGAGACATGCAATATTGCTGAGGGGCTTGCCTTATTCGACTTTTCGGTCCTCTGGAGCTGAGGATAACTGTACAGTATAATGTCGTTATCCAAATAAAGCTAAGAATACCAATCGGAAGGAAAGGAGAAGAAATTTTATCAACTTATTTTCTGGAATTGGCCCTTCACCTAAGTGGAGAGTATTGAAGAATTGTGGTTACTATAAGGTGGGCGACCTTCTATGTAATCTCAATGTTGATACTGTACACGCTGATATATCTGAGAATTCCGGCCTTTCTACGTCCAGGAAAACATATGGGTTTTTTCATGTGCATGCATAACCAAGTCGGAACAACTTATTGACTGCGGGTATTATTTCCATTTCTAAAATCAAAATAAGGAATGCCTTAGGTGATTTGAGATCTATTTCTATTTTCCCAGTGCTACCCAAAGTGGTTGAACATATTCTCAGACTCAGAACATATTAACAAAGACTGTTCAAGGTCTGACTTCAGTTTCCCAATTTACGGGCCGTTGTGGGCGCAGTACCATCAGCCTACTATTGATCATAAATGATTCAATCAGATGTGACATCAATGAAGGTTTTTTAACGTCGCTAGTACTGGCTGTAGTGCACTCTAGTGGATTTATCAAAAGCTTTCGATTCCGTTAACCACTGAATACTTGCTAAAAAGTTGACGGGACTTTTTAGATTTTCGAAATCCGCTTGTGAGCTTGTTCACTCTTACTGAACGGGAAGATCTTAATTTGTGGGCATAAATGGAAATTCCTCGAGAATTCGTCCCTTATACCTTGGTGTACCCGAAGATTCGGACTAGGCCCTCTACTTTTTCTAATGTGTATTAATGATCTTCCTGAGCGGATGATATCTTTCTGGTATGTAGAGCAGACTGTAATAAGCCTAATATTCTGTATGGCCTGAAAGTAGTATCTGGTACCACAACCTATGTTTTTGCAGGCTAAATTGTATTTTTAATTCTGTACGCTATGTCTACAGTGTTCGCAGAAGCGCTCATATCTCGGAATATATTAAAAGGTTCTTTGGATATACGTTTGGGCAGTTTACTGCAGGTTGCAGTCTATTGTTCATTTTTAATTGTAATTAAGTATGGTCAAATGCTCAATCTTTGTTCTACGTTTTCATTTTCATGCTATACCAGCAATCAACAGATTATTATTGCTTTAGTTAGACGTATCTGTTTTGACCGGTCTTTTCTTGTTCGAGTTCCGCGCTATTGGAATTTCTTGACCTGCCCATTTGATGTACGTATATCTCCTCACTCTAGTAATGCCTTCCGGGTGGATTAGTTTTTAGTAGGAGTTAGCATCCCACTGTGCTCATTTATGTCGATCAATACTGTCGATAGCAGCTTAGTGGGCGGCGTGGTTGTTTGTTTACGGTTATGATTTTATTGCTACTACCTGAGCACATGTCCTTAATATTGCTGTTTTTGCTTAATTCAATTCTCAATTTATGGCTGGGCAGCCATCTTTTAATTTGTAAATTTTAAATCTGTAATTTGCAAATTTATGAATATTGTTAGCTTAGGTATTGTAAGCTACAACTTGTTACAAGGTGTGTGTAATACTCAAATCTCCTGAATCTGCTATGTAATGTTGTTTATGAACTTAAATCTAATCTACTTTAAATTATGAATTTGACTGATACTTACTTCATTGTCATTGCGTACACTATTCTTCACTACAATAAGCTTAAATTGGCCTTTGAAGGCCTTATGAATTGTATATTGTGTGTAAATAAATTGATAATGCAAACGCCACTCAGTCCTATTACGGTACACTTTAACACCTCCCATCTCAGTATTTCAAGATGTCTACAAAAAGCCATTATTTTGGCTGGATTCAATTAACTCTTTTACAAAATTCAATATTATTTCTTTTTGGAATAGAAAAACAAAAATAAACACTGTAGGTAGAAAAAAATCAAAGAGAGTCTCTCTGCTTTTCCTCAAATTTCAAATCCCTCCTCATCTTCGTTATCTTGGTCGAGTTTCGTTGCATGGATTTGATGTAATGTATCGACGAAAACCAGGAGCTTTCTAATATTCATGCTTATGAATTCAACGTATTGTTCACATGAGTGGAAATTTTTTTGTATATCGATGACCGGATAATCAAATATATTCAAAAATTTTGAAGTGTTTTCGATCATTTTTTTTAAAGAGATAACGGCTTTTTCATTGTAGATATAAAGGGCGCAGTTTTTGGTCTCCGCTGCAGCCTTTGATATTTTAGTCCCTTCAATTTGCAATAATACAGTATTCACTTTTTCCAACATTTGCATTATAAGCGTTGTTTGAGTTTTTATAGATTTACGCACGACGTCTGAAAAAAATAGTATAACATTAAATTGTTGATGGCTATTCACATCACTTATTGATGAAATAATTCATAAATACCAATGTCGGTTAAAATGTCTTCTGCTAGAAAAATTTGTGTTGAATACATATGCTGTTTGTTGATTTATCTTGGAAATACAAAATATCCAGGCGGCTACAATCAATATTGCCAGAGGTAAGAATTCATTAATCATTTTTGGACAGTGGCAATTTGAAGAAGAATTCATAATGGTAGACAAAGTTCCGTCAAGATAAGCAAAATATTAAATAAACTCGCAATACGCTCTACATCGAAGCGCCTTCTGACTTTTTTAAGTTGGTTCCCCGGAAATTACAAAAAATTAAAAAGAGTTAGTGGGTAGGCCGAAGTAATCTGAAAACTAAGTGTCTAAGAAGCTATATTGGATTAATCTTGAATACTTCTGAGCCAGATCTACGAACTGTTTGGGTAAAGTAATAGATCAGCATCGGTTAAAAATCGAAAGTAATGTAGATCAATCATAACTATTCTCAAACTTGATCTGTAATGAAAAACTTGGAATACTTTCGCAAAGATATATGAATACACGCATGAATTAAACTTAATCAATCTGGATTGTACGCTGACCGAGAATGTGGGAAGGACATATATATATATATATATATATATATATATTATACGTATTTTGCGTATGAATATGTATATGATGAATATTTAGAGAATCTGGATGTCATTTTTTGGCAACTAATTGGCAACTATATTATACGCATGAATATATATATGATGAATATTTAGAGAATCTCGATGTCTTTTTTTGGCAGCTATTGAAATTTCACATCATTGTCGAAAAACTTCTCAAGTATAGTCTGAAATTATTCATTTACTAGATTTTTTATATAAATAATGGGATATTTGTGCTTCACGTCCAAAATTTGGTGCATTGTAACTTCATACCCTCAGGAATTTCCATTAAAATGAAATTATTGGATACTTTTTAGATTTTTACCTCCCTATACAACATTCAACTTGAGTGTTTTGAATCCAAATATGCGAAATACTTAATTGTAGGTATCAGCACTCAATTGAACATACAGGGATTGGTATTCGGGATGGAGGGTCTTTTGGATAGCGTCTGTATGTTAAAGATACAAAGGCGGACAAATGACGCGTTCTTCCTATTTTCGGATTAAAAAGTTTCAAGTGAAGCGCCCTGTTACCGTATCATTTGACAACAAAAAGAAAGCGAATTGACGCAAATGTAAACAAAAACATATAGTTTGACAAATAAAAATTAAGAAATCGATGTAAATACAAATAACAAATGTATGAAAAACTACGGTACAAAAAATGAATGTAAACGCATCTTTAATTTTCGGCTGATTTTTGGAGTAAGAAATGAACAAATGAGTTAAAAAGAGGAGACGATAGACGTGGACTAAACACATCATTAACTGTTTTGATTTGAAAACTAAATTTTAAATTGAAAACAAATCTTATTTGTTGCTTGCTTTGCCTACCTTATGGTGTAAATATTATTATTATTAATTGCGCCAGAGAAATAAATTCTAAGACTAAACTCTTAAAAGCACTAGCATCTAAGGCTATCGACTTTTATTAAAAACTCTACCGCACTTGAGATTCGAACCCACGACCATTGACTTGCTAGTCGACATTCCTCGCCTTCGGCTACTCAGGCGGATTATATAGTGTAAATAAAAATTTCAAATTGAATAAAATAAAGAAAACGTAAATTAGTATAAAACAAATAAAATTAGATAAATAAGTTTTCAATTAAAAATAAACTACCTCTATATTTTCCTGTACCTCTTCTTTTTATACATAGATGAAGTCCTTTTCCGGAAATCGAATAATGCATCATTGCATCAGCCCCCATATTGACGCCTTCCTCGTATAAAATCTCGTCATGTGAATCAACAGAGATTTGTAAGACAAACCATTCATGCGGCATATATACAATAGATAACAAATAGTGGGACGCAGATTCCACAATTTGGGCAGAGTCTTTATCTTCCGCAAACACAGATCTGTTTTCATCCGGTTTTAGGTGCTCAAAAAATACGTCAACATAGACATAACGAACAAAAGTATTTATTATTATTCTTAATTTAGCCAGAGTTAAGTCTAAATCTTGCAGCAGGTGTGTTTGTATTGAATGGTTGTTGATTGCAGTAATTTTGTGCCGTTTTTCAAATACTTGTGGCAACTATGAGTCAATTTCCTGGAGGTCATGTCTCGTTTTTGTGGAAATCATGTGCCAAGCCAAGAACTTCATTGCGCTTTGACTGTTGTTACAAAGTTTAACATCTCTGTTTTACATTAATCGAATTGTTATCACTATGGCTCTCCCTCATATTTGGTGTAATTGCATTGTATAACATGTAAAATTTTTGACAAATATCTATAGTTGTACAATTGCGGAGTTTTGAGATTGAATGAAAATCCAACATTATAATGAAATAGATTTAAATTTTGTATAAGCATACTTTCGAAATGCAATAAGCGATATTTAGTCTGTTTTCGATTTATTTTATATTTGGTTTTAACTTGTATGTAGGTAATAAAGTTTTTGCTTTTGTTATATGCTTAAATATTTTACACAGAATAGTTTTCTGCTAAAAAATTAACACATTTAGTCGTAGACATCTTCCTTATCGGCCACATATTTTATAATATCAGCTGGACGCATCAATTTTTCCGCATCCGAATCGGGAATCTCAAAACCGAATTCATCTTCCATCGCCATAATCACCTCTACATGGTCTAACGAATCCAGACCTAGGTCATTAATAAAATGAGACTCAGCTTTAAGCTACATCATGAGGGAAAAATAAAGACAAAGTCATTAATAAATATTATCCCGAAGGAAGCAAAATAAATCTGGCAAAGGCAAAAATACTAGTAGTACTGAATATGTAGTTAAGGGAGGAATCTAATTTACCTTGCTGGGATCAATCTTGTCGTACAATTTCAGTACAAGTAAAACTCTGTCGTTAATCAATTTCAAGCTAAGAGGGGGTTTTGCGGAATAATTACGAACCATTTGCCGTTGCCAAATATTGCTCCCCTGATATCAAAATGAAAACAGAGAAAAAACATATTAGTTTGATTAAATTCTTATACACATTTACCTTATCACTAGTAACTTTATCATAGGAAGCTACGACCTTAAGAACACGATCACGTATTTCTTCCATTTTAAGTTTGCCCGAGTAGTAACGTACTGATATATTGGTGTTACGAGATTTCAAATTTTTCTGGGAAGAAGATTATTTCCATTATGTGTATGTATTTATACCAACAGTAGTTTTTTAAAATATCAATAACAAAACGCACTTAACTACAGGCCAAAATTGTGAACTTGTCACGGATACGCGTTCGCGGCATTAATAAAAACATGCCCGCGACCGTTACAAAATGGTTGAGGTTAGGCTTCTGACCCTACTTAAGCAAATATTCATGTAATCTTGATTCGTTAATGACTTGCCTGCGTTACTCCATAACTTGAGCATGGAAGTGCAATTCTGTGTAGCATATGCATTTGGGACCGGACGGTAACCACACGGAATCCATTTGCAGCTACTGCCAGACGACCGCACCTACGTCCAAATTGTGACAGAAACATCGCGTAACGCCTATATTTTCACATAAATATTCATTGTTAATGTTACCTATTTTTTGACATTTGTTAACTAAAAATACAAAACGATTTACCCAAAATTTGCAAAAAGAATATTATGTAAAAACTGCTTCAAAACTTATATTCTTCTCCCTGCAGAGAAAAATGTTGAGCAGAATTGTCAAATATATTATTCACGGTTGCATTTACCTATGTGGGCAAAAAACCAGTGATGTCAATAACATGGCATTAAATACAAAAAAGTTTGAGTAAAAAAATATAGCGAAATATTAAAATATTTATTTTTAATACGACTTTGGAGCCATAAACTAAGAGAATGTAAGCTGACTTTAAAGTTTTTGATACGATATTTCCTGTTTTGTTTTGAAGGAAATGCAAGTGAATGCAGAAATAGAGCTCAATCTCGATCTGTAAAAGGGGAGCTAATTTTTAATTTAATTAAAATGTTAGAAATATAAAAATTAGTCTGGTTTAATAACTTTTCGGCTATTTATTCTTCGCCTATCAATGCTAAACGCTCAATTCAAGCCTAATCTAATATTATGAACCATGTTTAAGCTATTGATAAAGCTGCGCAGCTCGTAACTGTTCTTGACTAAATGATTGCATACAGAGATAAGAGATATTTAATTATGACGTCATGGCAGCTAATATTGTTTATAAAAGTGTTTGTTATTTAATAATTTTGAAAATAAGTTGTTGGTTGTGTAGTCCAAACTTAAATCAAATTTTTTTGTGATTAAATAGCAGAATATAAAAAATATTTCAAAGTTTCATATAAAAAAAATTTTAAATATGTTTGGATTAAGTGTTTGTTGTTGTGGACGAAAAAGAGCGGATAAGTTTTTGTTGACACTCGATAAATTACGTAATTACGTCGCCAGAGCAACAACGACAGCTGACTTCACGGAAGAAAATATGAGAATTTGTGTACGGCGTCATTTCAGCAATAAAAGCAAATATTGTTTCCAAAAAAGTGTTCAATCCCATTCATCAGAATACATAATAATGAGCCAATCCGCAGAATTTGCGATAATGGATTATGATATCATAGGATTTGATTTGGATGGTACACTTTTGAGGTATAATCTCAATCATATGGTGGCTTTGGAATATAATATATTGACTAATTATTTGGTAAAAGTTAAGGGTTATCCAAAGTGCCTTTTGGAAAAGCCATTCAATGCTAATTTCTTGCAAAAAGGTCTAATAATTGACGCGGAACGAGGAAATTTGTTGAAATTAGGAGCTGATGGTACTATCTTGCGGGCAACGCACGGTACCAAGTTGCTAAGCACTGAAGACGTGAGCAAAATCTACGGCGAATCCTGCCAATGGACATTGGCTCAAGAGTTTATTCGGGATCCATTGTCGACTTGGAATGGTCCTGCAGCTGAAAAATTGAGAACATTATTAGATTACTTTGACTTGGCTGCGGCGCTGGTGTTCGCTCAAGCTGTAGATATTTTCGATGAAAAAAGCGAAGCAATGAATTGTAAAATTTGGCCTGATATCTTGTCTGGTCTGATATACATGTATACCAGAGAACATTTCGCAAATGGGCAGAGCGAATACTTTGAAAATTTAAAAGCTCGACCTCAATTATATTTAATGCGTACGAATGAAAATGTTATTAAATGGATTAAAGAACTTCGTGAAGCTGGTAAAGCCATTTATTTATTAACAGGTTCGAATATTGATTTCGCCAACTTTACGGCCAGTTATGCTTTGGGGCCTGATTGGCGTGATTTATTCGATTGTATTTTATGTTTTGCCAAGAAACCGGGTTTCTTTGGCATGAAGAGGCCATTCTTAAGAGTGGCTGATCTCGCCGAAGTATCCAAAAGTGAAATTCCTTTAAACGATTGCCTGCAATTAGGCGAAATATACTCACAGGGAAATTTCCAACAATTACTTAACACTTTCAACAAACTTCTATTTCGTAAACCCGTCAATGAAATACGTTCGCTTTACCTAGGCGACAATCTAATTCAAGATGTCTATGCTCCCGCCAGCTGTTGCAACATAGCTACGATAGCGTTAAGTGAAGAACTACTTTGTCGTGAAAGCAATTATGAATTTAAGCCAATTGTTCAGTCAGAATTTTGGGGTCCATATTTTTCACTTGACGGTTCACCTACGCTATGGTATCGTATTATTGAAAATTGCTCACAATTGTGTGTACCAAATTTAGACTCCTTAGCCAAAATTCCTATTACTAAAAAAATACTTTTTAAAGCTGGCACTCGTTTTTTATCGAATCTACCAGATACCTTAACGGTATAAAGCAACCAAGTCATTAAAAAATTAAACATTGGTTGGCTAGAATAGGTGTGTATGTGCATATGTACGTGTACAAGCACCAATATGTAAATGTAATGTATAGGTGGGTATAATTCATTCACAAGTTGTAAAGGTTTAACGCACATATATGCAATATATTTGGTATTTTAGTAAAACCACTTTTTTTTTTTATATGATCATATTTGATGTAATTATACAGGATTTTTTGCTTTTGCCCGCAAAAATTAAACATACCTATAAAAATACAAATAGCAAATGTAATAAATTCAATTCCTTAAGATGCACTTCAAATTTTTCTCACTAAAATAACGTAAAAAATGTTCGAATTTACTATTTTTTAAGTAACATTGAACTTTGGAATATTTTAATTATAATGTGGACAATTTACATAAAATTAAAGTTAAATAAAGCCATAATGTTTGAATGTTACCATGACCAAACCTAATTGCAGAAATTAAAAATTTGCTATAAATAAGGTGACTAAGAACCTTTTGCATGAAGGGAAGAAGCTTTAAAATTCACATATCCATTACAAGGCATGCATCAGACCCTATAGAATATACATATTCGTAATTAGCGAAACCGATTTAATCATGCCTTACCGTTCGTTGAAAACGTAACTATGATCTCAAAGCTCTAAGAAAACAAAATCGGTCACAAATTTTTCTTCGTACTTCTGTATAATTAAGGTCCATCCACATTCATAGAATAAAAACGCTGTGCTCTTTAGTTTACAGCGACAAATTTGATCTTAACACTAAATTTGCGATCGTTTTACATATGCCTTCCACTCATTTAGACACACGTTGCCATTTTGTATACCCGATTGCAGTTAAATTACAAATTAATTTTTTATATGTGGCATATAACTTTCGAACCCATGAAAAAATGTATTTGACCCAGATGTTCATTAGGATCACCTTCACGCTCACTCCAAAAATGATTCTAATAGGTTTCAGTAGAGCGACTGTGAGGGTTCACAAAAACAACCCGTCATATTTCCATAGAGATAGGTATATAACATCCAAAAATAACAAAAAAGGCGCGTTCCAGGCAAAAAAGGGACACATATATTTCATGGAATATATCATTAAAAAATAATACATAAAATCTTAATATATCTACTTGCCTATATAGAGTTTTTAAGCGGAAAGTCAAAAACCCATTATCCACTTTTGTTTTTAATAAAATCTTTGCTTCATGTGTTCGATTATAATTACCGAGAAATCAATATTGAACACTACATAATTAGTGCTTATGGAATGCTTTGAAATATATGGAAATATAACTAAAATATGTAACATGCGATTTGATATATACGATCCAAAAAGTGTATAGAAATCACATGGCCCGAGCACTTTGTTCAAAAATATATTGCCAACATCAAAAACACGACTGTTTTTTTGGGTGCACAAAATTAAGTTGTCCACTTTGCTCGGAGTTCTTCGACTAAAAGAAAAAAAAATTGATCACTAGCAATATAGGCTATCGAGTCATTTTTAGAAAAGAGAGTTAGATATTAAGTTAAGTACTAGTAATCTATCTAAAATGTGTGGCGGATTTTAGGACGTCCGTAGGGTTAATTGTTCAGAATTCGATTCTTCTAATAAAGGAAAAGTTTAGGCAGTTGCAAAGAAGATGATTTTATTGTAGGAATTATAGAAGATTCCTGAAGGCTCCATTGATGTGTTGCAGTTATATGGCTTAGGCGAATTCCATAATGTTTTCATCTTTATTTTGTTCATATTTGTTGGATATATGTGAGGGTTAACAAAAGTGCAGCGGTGGTGATAATATTGTAGATTTCCTTGCCTAATTTTTCTCCCTTGTTCATTTCGCAATAAATCATTATGATTAGATATCCAAAGAGTTTTTATCTTATCGCCGCATGTTGCGATGATGTTTATTAATTTGTCAATGGCGGTCTAGATGGAAGTCAACAGTATTGAGTTGGGTTTTTCATAGTACCAAAGACCGCTCCCGCTTCGGTCGTAAAATTTGCAGCATTTTGATAAAGTATCTGATTAAGTAAGACTTTCCCTCATAGGGATTTTCCTAAAGAAACGAAAAAAAAATAAGCATCTTTTTAAACAAGCTCTTCGGGTCATTTATAATACAAGTTGCATGAAATAGTTCAATAGCAGGGATTTGAGAAATAGCTCTGATGCAGTGGTAGTCGAGAATAGACAGTAATATTAGACAGTTAAGGCCGCGGAAATAAATTAAAAGATTGGGAGCATTTAAAAAACAAAAATATAGCCAGTGTAGTGGATTTTGATTTCCTCCAACAATAACAGGCAAGAAAACTATATTCGGTCGTGGCAGTATCATTATACCCAACAATGGCAATTGTTATGGTAAATGCGTTATGCACGTGGGCGTTGTAGAGCGGCTTGGGTCGTTTTTAAATTCTTTTGTAAATTTGTAGAAGATATCTTCATTTGGCGAACACAGATATTGCATAGTTGGGCAGACGGATACGCGGACAGACAAACAGAGGGACATGCTTAGATGCACTCCGAATTTGAAATTTACCAATAATTTATAGGCTTTGGAGTTTGTGAAGTTTTCATCTGCACATTTAAAAGGCTTTAAATAAAAATTAAGTTTTATAAATTATAATTTTGGATAAGCGTGGTCAATTTTCTCAATTCTTGTACAGAGTTATACCAGCGCCCTTACAGTATACAACGCGTTCAAATATTTGTATATTTATCTGCTATAGTTTATTAGTAATGAGCATAAAAAGAATTTTTTATACCTTTCTCAATTTACATGGTACTGTAAGCGTGTCTTTCGATCGATTGGCCCATTTTCAATACAAAGCTGCGCGCAAAAACTTCAAATGTTCCACCTTCATCCTCCATGGATGGGTATAAAAATTATTCAAAACTGCTGATTTGCTACAAATGTTGCAGCGAGTTTTTCATTGAAATTGAACATTATATATTAATTTTCAACAATAGCAGGAATGTAGACAGTAATATCGAGTTTGAGTTCAATGGACGCGTAAATGTAAGCCATTTCAAAAAGGATTCGCAAAAGTAAATAATCTAGACTTGTAAGTATAATGAATTCATGAAGTCAAAGAAGTAATTATTTGGTCGATGAGTTAGTTGTAGAGTAATGCAAAAATTGAAAACACTTTAGTTATATCTCAGTTATTTACTTTAAAATAAAATATACAAAATATCATTGTAATAAAGTTAAAGATTGAGAAAATAACAAAAATTCTCTTGCAAGCTAACGTTAAACTTGAGCCATTGTGTGTTTGTTCACTTACAAAAGTAGCGTAAAACGTAAGGCAAAGTCGTTAAAATAGATAAGGAAAATTGCAATGTATCCCACTATAAGAAGTGTATTGAAAAATCAAACACGTTCGATAGCCATAGCTATGCCCATGCCGCCCCCAATGCATAGACTGGCTACACCCTTATGTCCACCGGTACGTTCGAGACTGTGTAATAGTGTCACTAAAATACGATTGCCGGAAGCACCGATGGGGTGACCTAATGCAATAGCGCCACCATTAATATTCACTTTAGCAGGATCTAGTTGTAGAGAATTAATCACTGCCAATGTTTGCGCAGCAAAAGCTTCATTTAGTTCATAGAGGTCAACCTCTTCTTTAGACCAGTTAGCTTTGCGAAGCTGAAAGCATACTTTAGTTAAAATTATATTTTCTATAAAAATAAACGTCGACAGCTTACTACAGCTTTTACTGCTGAAACGGGCCCTAAGCCCATTAATTTAGGTTCTACACCAGTCTCGGCCCACGCCGTTATTTTGCCCAATGGTTTTATTTGACGCTTTTCAATCTCTTGACCAGACATTAGTAAAACAGCCGAAGCTGAATCATTAATACCTGAAGAATTGCCAGCTGTTACAGTCCCATTCTAAAAAATTAAATTAAAAAATTTTGAAAGTTGTCGTTAGCTAAAACCATCATTAAAAGCAAAGAGAAAAATGGTTTTGATCAACGTTCTATCTAATGAAATCTAATCAATACAGATTGCTTTCCGTGGGCGGGCACTACTACTTCAAGCAGAAGTGATCCTTGAAGTTATAAATGGATTTGCAAAACTTGACACTTGATATGACATATATTTTATTTTAAGACCCCATTATTACCTCCATAAAACAAGGATTTAATTTCTGTAGAGATTCCAGTTTGGTGCCTTCTTTAATATATTCATCCTTATTGAATAAAGTAGTGCCTTTGCGTTCTACAACCTCCACGGGTACAATTTCTTTAAGAAAATGGCCATCTTTTTGGGCTTTGTCAGCTAAATTTTGAGAACGTTCAGCATATTTATCTTGCTCCTCACGGCTTATATCATATTCTTTAGCTATAATTTCAGCAGTTACTCCCATGTGTATGCTATGTAGAGCATCGGTGAGACCATCATGAATCATTGTGTCGATCATAGTAGCTGAACCCATTTTAATACCTGCACGTAAAAATACGGCATGGGGTGCCAGGCTCATACTTTCCTGGCCACCACATAAAACAATACTAGAATCACCACAGCGAATGGATTGATAACCCAAGACAATAGCTCTGTAATATAAAGAAAATTTTCGAGCGATATTCTTGATTTGGTGTTTGACTATTACTTTAATCCTGAGCCACATAACATATTAATGAGATAGGATGGCACCTCATTAGGCAGGCCAGCCTTCAACGCAGCTTGCCTGGCAGGATTTTGGCCCTGACCTGCGGTAAGCGCCTTTAAAGGGAACAAAGTTCTTAAATATATGTAAAGTAAATCAATTCACTTACTTGTCCAATAATAACTTCATCTACATCTTTGCCGTGTACGTTGGATCTATTTAAAATCTCTTTTATTACAATACTACCCAAGTCAGAAGCTTTCAATTTTGATAAGGACCCATTAAAACTACCTATATATGTACAGGTTACGCAAATTAAAATAAAGGTAGAAAAGAGAAAGTTGCCAAATTAAATTCACACAATACGTCACAAATAAACACTTTCTAACTCATCATTTTCTAGTTGGTAATTATACTTACCAATAGGTGTTCTGGCCGCAGCTACAATATAAACGTCTTTCGAACTCATTGCTATTTTTACAAATAATAAGAAATTCATTAAGTGTTCACCGGCAATGCCAAGCAATTTATTTTCTTTTTTTGGCTTATATTTATGTGTATGTGAAGTGACTACATTTAGATAAGATCATATCGACTTAATGCGGGGTTAAAGTTCTGTCAAATTTGAGAGATTTCATACAAAATCTTTTAATAATTTTGCGACAATTTTTTTCTATCCATATGCGGTTTTGTTTATAAAAAGTTTAATGCGAGAAAATA